GAGTCCCTGTCTGGAGTGCTGGGTGGGGGCAGAGGAACATGCACGAGTCCCTGTCTGGAGTGCTGGGGGCGGGCAGGAGGAACATGCACGTGTCCCTGTCTGGAGTGCTTGGGGGCGGGCCTCTTCTGTCTGATTCGCTTTCCAGGTGACACTCCTGCAGAGGGTCCCTGAGGTTCTGTCCCTCCCTGGAGTCCGACCAACAGCCCGAGTGCAGAGGCCGGGCAGGGCTGTCCCCAGCCCCGGTACCAGGCAGTGGCACAGCCTGGAGGGCAAGGGAGCTGGGCTCCTTGGGCCAGGCTCTGCCTCCTGGGACTGAGGGTTCGGGCAGGTCACTCACCTGGCCTCGGCCACCCCGTTTATCACAGGGGTCGGCCATGGGTCGGGGCAGCTGCCCACGGGGGGTGAATTTTACCCGTGAGAAGCTCTGAGAGGCCAGGCCACTCTGCTCAGGTTGGGGGGACCTGTGTGCTTTGCCAGGCTACGTCCCCCCTCTGCCCCCAGGGACATCTGCACCCCCCCAGGGACATCTGCACCTTGCCTGGGGAATCGTTGCTCATCGCCCTGCCTTAGGTGAGGGGACACACCTGATCCTCACCTCCTGGAGGAGGCAGAAACGGAGGCCATCGGCAACCCCATTTCACTGATGAGGAACCCCAGGCTCAGAGAGGGATGTGACTTCCCAGGGACACGCAGCTGGTTCACTGTGTTCTGTCCCAGGAAGAGAGCGCGGCTCGGGGAGGAGAGCCAGGGTTAGCGGCCAGAGCTTGAGAGGCCACCGGGGTGGGAGTGGCCCCTGGTGTGGAGCAGGGTGCCCTGTGGAGAAGGGGACTGGCTGTGTCCCTGTGCCAGGCCTCGCAGTGGCTCCTGGGGCCGGCAGGGCTGGCCAAGCTGCTGGCACTGGTGGGGTGGCTGGAGTGGACTCGGATCAAGCTGATTAATTTATCCAGGCCCCTGGCAGGAAACAGACAGGGAGCAGCTGGCAGGCTCTCTGGTGTTCCATTAATTGTGACCATGACTTTAACCCCAGATGTGGCCTGGTGCTGCCCAGAGGCTCTGGCTGCAGAGTGCGGTACAGGGCAGGGCTCCTTCTTGGGGCGGGGGAGCAGGACGCTCCCGAGGTGCCTAGAGACGAGGCCCTGCTCCCACAGTGCCCGGGAGGTGGGGGAGTCTGCCAGCTCCGGCTCCTGTGTGTCCAGTTAGGGGCCTCCGGGGGCCAGGCCTGAGCTCAGGGCAGGGTCTGAGGCCGGGCTGAATCGGGGTCTGTCTGAGCCCTGATGTATAGATCTGGGCACCAAGAGTGGGACCACACCTGGCAGGGACGAGGAGGGACGGAGGGGCCTGTGACAGTCAGGATACCCAGGTCCCCTGCACTGGGGGACAAGCCCAGCCCCCAGGCTCTCAGAGACCCACCGAGGAGTGGTCTTCAGGCCCTCCCCGTAGGTAGGTAATGGGATCTCTAGTTCAAGGACAGCTGCACAGGAAGACCCCGAGAGAAGGTCGAGGGCGGAGCCTGAGCCCACCATCTGCCGCCAGCCCTCGGGTTCAGCTGCGTGTCCGCTCTGGCTGAGCGGGCGCACCCCTGTTTCGCCCAGGCTGGCCCTTGAGACTTGCCCTCGTGCCTGGAAACCCCGTCCCTAGGTGGTCACCCCCTCCACCTGCACGTGGCCGGGAAGCACTGAAGGTGGGGGGCAGTTGGGTGACATCCTCACTCTTTCCGTTTGGCTGGTTTTCTGGGGTGAAGGCAGGCCCTGAGTTGCCTGGCAGGCGCTCCCCACCCGCTGAGCACCCCGCCCTCATGAAGGGTTTGTTCTGTCTGTGTCTTTGTGTGTTTTGTGGGGTCCTGGGGGGAACGCAGGCCCCGTGCGTGTGTGCCAGGCAGGCGCTCTGCCACCCAGCCGCACCCCGCCCTACTCTTTTTCCCTTGTGGTAAAACAGACCCAACTTGGAGTTTGCTTGCATCCACTGCTAACTGTACAGTCGGCAGCGGTCAGTGCACTCACGTCCCTGTGTGACCGTCACCGCTGTCCGTCTCCAGGACTCGCTTCGTCTTGTAAAACCAAATTCTGTTCCCACTAAGTGGTGTCTCCACTCCCCCTCCCCCCAGCCCCCGGCTAGTTTCTACCTCCACGAATCCGACTAAGCCAAGAGCTTTGTTAAGTGAGGTCCTGCGTGACCTGTCCTTTTGTCCCGGGCACATTTCATTTACTGTAATCTCTTCAAGGTTCACCCATATTTTAGCAGGTATCAGAATTTCATTCTTTTTTAAGGCTAAATGATATTCTATGTTTGATTCAGCTCTATGCACATCTTGTGTGCATACACCATATCTTGTTCATCCATCCAGTTGTTGGTGGACATCTGGGCCGCTTCCAGTTTAGCTATTGGTTTGGGATTCTTTTTGGGGGGTCGGTGCTGGGGATCAAGCCCAGCGTCTCGCACGGGCTAGGCAAGGGCTCTACCCGTGAGCTGCACCCCCAGCGGCACGTCTCAGCTGTGGTGAGTGACGCTGCTGTGAACACCGTGTGTACAAGTGACCTCCAGGGGACCCTGCTTTCAGTCCTCGGGGGTGTGTGCTCAGAATTGCGGGGTGCCGTGGCCATTCTATTTTTAACATCTGGAGGAAGCACCGAGCTGTTTTGCACCGTGGCTGCACATTTCACATCCCGCCCGTGTGCGGCTTCTTCATTCTCACCCACACTGGGCATCTTCTGGGTTTTGTTTTTTGTAAACACGGCGTTCATCCTAATGGCCATGAAGTGGCTCCCAGTGTGGTCTTCCTGCTTCCGCAGCCACCAGCGGCGTGGAGCAGCTAGCTCTTCACCTGTATTGGGCCATCTGTAGGTCTTTGGAGAAATGTCTGTTCCGGTCCTTGGCTCCTCTTTTGTTGAGATGGTTCAACCCCTGGGTTGGGAGGTCTTCCTCTGCCTCCTCGGCATGTTGATCCCTTCTCCGATGCACGGTGGGCCGATGTCTTCTCCATCGCTGGGGTTGCCTCCCCGCTCGGGAGAGCACCTGGTTCATCTCTGATCCACTCCTGCCCGGCCACTCCCTGGTACAGAGGACACACACTTGACCTTCCTGCACCCTCAGCTGAGTGGGAGGCAGGCCAGCCTGGGAGTCCCCAGCCTTGGGCGGGAGGCAGGGGACCAGTAAGAACAGCAGGGCTGGGGGAGTGGTGGGCACTCAGGGCGAACAGGGCAGGAGGGGCTGCGGGGGTTCCAGGCAGGGCCAGCAGAGTCTCTGTTGGTGAGGCCCCTGTGACAGCTGCAGTGTGGCCAACTCCCCCCAGCAGGGGCCCTCACTCTGGGAATGACAGGCGCAGCCGTACAGAGATGGAGGCTGGTTTCGGTGCGTGAGGGGCCTGGGTGCCAGTGCAGCCGGAGCCAGCTGTGTGACCTCAGGCTTGGGGCTCACACCTTAGTCCCTGTCCTCATCCACAGGAAGTCAGTGCACTTCCCAGGAGGACTGCGGTCCTCTGTGAGGTCCCATCTGCAGGGCACTGGGCAGCTGAGACCTATGACCACCCTTCTGAGGGTCAGCTGCTCTGCCTTCTCCCAGGGGCATGAGAAGGCACCGTGCGTGGCCCGGGCCCAGGGGCTGGCAGGCGCGGGCTGGGTGCCGCGGCTTCCTTAGCGAGCTGTGTTCTCCGCCCACAGTGGGACTCCATCAACGAGGTGGACGAGTCCTTCCGGCCCATCCACACGTACCAGGTGTGCAACGTCATGAGCCCCAACCAGAACAACTGGCTGCGCACGAGCTGGGTGCCCCGCGACGGTGCCCGGCGCGTCTACGCCGAGATCAAGTTCACGCTGCGCGACTGCAACAGCATGCCCGGCGTGCTGGGCACCTGCAAGGAGACCTTCAACCTCTACTACCTGGAGTCGGACCGCGACCTGGGCTCCAGCACGCAGGAAAGCCAGTTCCTCAAAATCGACACCATCGCGGCCGACGAGAGCTTCACGGGCGCCGACCTGGGCGTGCGGCGGCTCAAACTCAACACGGAGGTGCGCGGCGTGGGACCGCTCAGCAAGCGCGGCTTCTACCTGGCCTTCCAGGACATCGGCGCCTGCCTCGCCATCCTCTCCCTCCGCATCTATTACAAGAAGTGCCCCGCCATGGTGCGCAACCTGGCGGCCTTCTCGGAGGCGGTGACCGGCGCAGACTCGTCCTCGCTGGTGGAGGTGCGGGGCCAGTGCGTGCGGCACTCGGAGGAGCGGGACACCCCCAAGATGTACTGCAGCGCCGAGGGCGAGTGGCTGGTGCCCATTGGCAAGTGCGTGTGCAGCGCCGGCTACGAGGAGCAGCGGGATGCGTGCGTGGGTGAGCGCGCCCCGTGGGCGGGCGGCGGGTGAGGGGCGGGGCCGCGGGGGGGACGTCACCTTCCGCCTCTGGGTGGCGCCCTGGGGGGATGGGTTGACTCCAGGGCTGCGGATAGCAGATACACCCGGCCACCTGTGTGTCGTGGCCAGGAGGTGCCCTCGGTGGACATTGACGGGTACAGCTAGGGACCTGGGGGCACGTACCTCAGTTAGGGACCCACTTCGGCGCTCGTGCGGGTGCTGTTGTGAGCACTGAGCGTGTGTGAATTCATTTCATCCCCACTCCCACAGTATGAAGTAGGAACCACTATTATCCTGGGTTTAAAAAAAAATTTTTTTTTTGTCTTTTTATTGGTTCTTTTAAGTTGTGCATAACATTAGGATTAATTTGGACAAAATATAAAAGCAAGGGACACACTTCTCATTCAGTCCCCAGCTCCTCCTGTCCCCTCCCCTCCTCCCTCCCCCTCCTCTTCCGCACTCCACTCATCTTTCGCTATTTACATATATATATATATATATTAAATTAATCCCTTTTTTAGATGAAGGGACTGAGGCCAGAGAAGCAGCTTGCCGAGGTCCCACAGCTGGGAGGTGGCCAGGCTCTGTCGCTCCCACAAGCCCAGCTCCAGGGTCTGTGTGAGAAACACTGAGCTGCTCACCTGCTGGGACGCAGGGAGGGCGTGCAGAGGGTCCAGGCAGGTGCACCCGGGGAGGACCCTCTAGGTTGGGTCTGTCACGGGGCCCCCGACCTAGGCTGCCTGCATTTGGGAGATCTTGTCCAGCGTCCTGTTGAGGACACCCGGCACCTTGGTCAGGAACTGGCATGTGCTTCTGGTGTCAAGCTGGGACTCTGTGTCACCGACCAGGAGCAGGCATGCGTAGGGGGAGCCCAGCCCCCCTCCACCCGTGGGTGCCTGCAAGGGCAGGTGTGTGCCCAGGGGACTTGGGGGGCACCCTGCAGCCAGGAGGGAGCTCCAGGGAATGTGGTGCATGAACAGCTGGTGCCCAGTTGGTCCGGGCTCCGCCTGGCTCCCCTGGACCCCTCTGTGAGTCCCATGAGCTGGACACAGGACCCTTTAGCTGTGTGTCAAGGCACAGGGACGCCTGGCTGTTGAGACCAGCGGTCCCCCTGGGCTGAAGGGGTGCAGAGAAGAGGAAGCTCCTGTGCAGGGATCAGAAAGATGAGAGCCTGTCCCCAGACAGGAAAAACTGGCCCCAGTCCCCATCAGCCACTGGGAACATCCTCACCTTTGGCTCTGCCCACACAGGTCCTGGGGCCCAGAGTTAGGGGGACAGGACTCTGGTCCCCCTTAGCACCTTCCTCTGCCTCTGGCAGTCAGGAAAGCGTCTTGATACCTTTAGAAGGGAGCAGGGTGTAGGCTGGTGACCTCAGGTGACAGGCAGCTCCAGCCAGGTCTTGCCCAGAGATGGCAGGACAGACTCTTCCTCTGGCTCCAGGCCCTTTCCTGGTTTCCTTGAGAAGCCTTTCGCCCCGCCCTTGACTGCCCCCATCTTGACCTTGCTGGGCTCTGAATTCCTTCAGTGGCGCTGGCTCGTCCCTGATTTGCTGACCCTCCACCGCCTCCGTGTGTTCCCGCCTGGCTGCTGGGCTGCCTCCCCCAGCCTCACAGCTCGGTTCTCTGCTGACTTTACAGCTCCATCTTGTAGATGGGGAAACTGAGGCTCAGGAGGTAACGCGGCCTTGAACCCCACCCAGCCTGCTCCTGGTGGCCCTCCCTGCCAGCTCCCGGCGTCCTGCTGTTCTGACGGGGATGGTCAAGTCGTTTCGTGACAGTGTTTCAAGTGCTGTCGCGTGTGCCGTTTAGTAAATGCTCTTCCCGTGAGGCGGGCTGTCTCTTCGCCTGCGGGTCTGTGTTTGACGGGCACCAAGGGCCCGGCAGGAGGCCTGCCTTTGAGGATGAGTCTCTCATCTTCACCGTGGCCCTCCGAGCCAGGCCTCGGGTCCTCGCTTCACAGATGACAAACCCCAAGCCCCCAACCTTAATGGCAGAGTGCGATGGCACCCGGGCTCCCACCTCCATGGCGCGGAGCTGCCTCCTCTGTCCACAGAGTCTTCTCCAAAGCCCACCTGCCCTCCCCGGGTCTCACCCAGATGGTCAGTGACTGATCCCGCAGAGGCCAGGCTAACTGGGCTGGCCTGTGCGTAGCGGCTCAGGGACAGGGGCCACCCGGCTCTGGATGTCATGAGGGAGCGTGAATCCGCCAGCCATCTGTCCCACGCGCACCGAGACCCGCTGGCCCGGGGATGCACACCTGCCTCCTGACTTCACGGGCTCTTGGGAGATGCTCCACGCTCCTCCTGCAGCTGGTGGGAAATGGAGCCCAGAGCAGGAGTGCGCCTGCCCAGTCCCCAACTGCCCAGTCCCCTCCAGCCCCTTCCCCAGCACACCCAGGGCAGGGCTCCCTGCCGAGGCCGGCGAGGCCCGCGGCTCCCCTTTCCTGACGCTGCGGGCGCATTAATAAAAGATAATAAAGAAATGCCAGGGCAGGGCTCGGGAATCACAGCGTATTTTGAATTTTGCATTTAAATCATAATACAACGTAATTATGCTAGTTGCAAGATAATTACAGGTTTTAGTAAAAAATATTAGTTCTGAGCGCGCTGCAGGCAGCGAGATCTGGGAAGGGAGTGCCAGTTTGAAGTCCCACGAGGAGAGACATTTTCTGCCCTGTTGGTGGCTTCTGTGACTGTCTGTGTCACTCCAGTTGGAAAGAACAGCAGGGGCCCCTCACCCAGGCCTTCACCAGCGTCCCCTCCTGCCCCTGGGAAGCCCCCCGCTCTGTGAGGCCTCAGCCCCCCCTTGATGGACAGCCTGAGCCGAGCAGGAGCTGGGGACGGCCTGGGGCCACTTGAGATGTCCTCAGAGCTTCCCTGGTGGGTCTTCACCTCCCGAGGACCGTGGCCCCTGGCTGGTCCCGGGCCCCCCTGTTGGAGAGGAAGGGCTGGGATGGGGTTGTGTCTGGGATTCACAGAGGAAGACAGTAAATCCCGGGGGGAGGGGGAGGAGGAGGAGGCAGCCCTACCTGGTCTCAGGGCTCTTCAGGGGCTTTGCTGAGATTGCACTCAGGACTCAGAGACCCGTGGAAGAACGTCAGAGCCATATGCAGCTCGTCCATTTTACTGGTGGGAGATGGAGGCCCAGAGCGGCCAAGAGACTGGCTCAGGGGCACACAGCAGGGAGGGGTGGGCGGTGTCTCAGCTCCCCCAATTCCCAGACCAGGAAGAACACCTGGGAACACCTCCCCGCTCCTGACCCAGTGACCTCTCCGGACACCCCACTGCACTCTCCCCCACTCCTCCAGAAAGGGGAAGGACACATCACCTGGTGGAGTGGCATCTCAGGGACTGAAGTCTCGGTGGCCGTCCTTCCTGTCACCTGGACGCAGGATATAAATCACCCTCTGCGGCCCTAATCATCTTTCTATAAATATCAGCGCCTCATTCCGGAGGGGAGCGGGCGGGCCCCCGTGCCTTCCTGACTGTGTTTAAAATCTGGTGGAGAATTAATTTCCTTGGTCGGCCGCAGGCGGACACCTTATTTGTCAAATCTCCAGCTCTCTGCAGAGGACAGCGGAGGGGTGGCCGGGGCCGCAGGCAGCTGCCAGCCTGCAGGTGGCCTGGGCAAGGTGCCCTCAGCAGGGGCAGGGCCCCTCCTGGCCCGAGGCCCGGTGCCCGGCCCACGAGGGCGGGCTGCGGAAGCACCCTGGGCGGCGGCGGGGCCAGGCCCGGCCGGGCTCCTCCATCTGCCCAGGCCCGGCCCCCTGAGGCCTGGCGATTAGGATTCTTATTAGAGACGGTTTTGTTTTCACTGTGTGGATTGATCTGGCCCTGACACGTACAGCTGAGCGTGTGCGGAATGCCCGCTGGTAGGTGACAGGATGGCGCGGCCACCTCAAAGCCCAGGGACCGGTGCGCAGGTGGAGGAGGACGGCTGCCGGGAGGTGGCCGGGAGGTGGCCGGGAGGTGGCCGGGCCTGGCTCAGCGCAGGGGCGGGACCGGGGCGGCCGAGGCTCCCAGGCCACTTTCCGCTCCCACAGACGGGCACTGGGTCCTGACCTGAGCTGACAGGCCGTCCCCCCCAGCCTGGGTGGCACTGTGACAGGTGCGGACGCACCTTGCCCAGGTGGCTGAGCTCAGGCGAAGGGTTGGGTGACAGGGACCTGGGCAGCCTGTGCCCCATTTCTCCTGCTCGCTGAGGACCCGGTGGACTCTGTCGATGGCCAGGGACCCACTGAGGTGGCTGTCCCCTTGCGCTTCCTCTAGGCCCCGCCTGGTGGCTCGGGTTCCCGGCAGAGGCTCCGTAAGAGCTGGTGGCGGGTGAGCGGGGACAGGATGGGCACAGGGCTCCCGAGGTGTCAAGGGACATGGTCAGCACGTGGCTGCCCAGGACTGGCCTTGGGCACTGGGGGAGACACAGCAGGCTCCGGGGAGCCCCGAACCCTGCCCACGCTCCCGGCCCTGCACCAGGCCCTGCACCGGCCCCCGCTCAGTGCACGGCTGAGCCCCTCCCGGCTGCAGGCCCCTGGTCTCTGAGGCCCTCGTGGAGGTCATCTCTTCTGGTTCCAGTGGCAGGATTTTGGAAGTTCTCCTGGTTCAGCTGCTGTGACAGATGCCATCAGCGTCCAAGGAAGAGATGCCCTGAGATGTGTTCAGATAGAACTTCTCTCGGGCACTGAATCTTCTAGAACAGGGTTTTGTGCTGAGAGAATCCCAGTCAGTGTCCCCGTAGCAAAGGACTTCAGTCCAAGGGTGAGGCCGGGAGCTGCCTGGCTGGGTGGCACGGGGTCCACCAGACCCCGGACTCTCCCTCTGCCCAGAGCAGATGACGGGGGGCTCCACTCCATTTGGAAACTCTGCCAGCGTTAGACGGCCTCTGTGGTGGGCCAGCCCTGTGCCGGGTGCGGGGGGCTTTGGGGGGAACTAAGCAGCCTGCCCCTATTCACGGGATCCACCCACGAGGACCTCCCAGTCCAGGAGGAGAGTCAGACAGCCTCGGTGTCCCAGGCGTGGGATGATCCGGGACTACAGGAGCAGGAGGGCCCTGGTCCAGGAAGGCTGCACCAAAGGACATTTAAATGACTCTTGAAAGAGGAGTTAGACGTTGGAAGAAAGGCATCCCAGGAAGACGTGGCACACGCCAAGGCCCTGAGGCAGGAAACAGCCTGCCACACCCGGGCAGCCGCCATTCATTGAGTTTGGCCAAAGGGTGGGGGGTGCAGGTGGGCTTGGGTCTGGTAGAGAGGGACGTGGACGCCAGGCTTTCTCCTTTAGGCCACAGGGCGGCCCATGAGGGGCTGACCAGGCAGTGACGGCAGGTGAAATTCCCTCAACCCAGGCCTGCCGCAGCTCTCCGGTGTCGCCCTCCTGGACAGACCTACTGTGCGCTGGCCCTCTGTCTATTGCCACGTCTCTTGGGCCCAGAACCAGCCTGGCCCAGGCCGTGCTCCTGAGCAGAGGCTGGGGTCGCTGGCAGCTGGAGTGGGGAGTGGGGAGCAGGGCTGGGGGGTTCGGAGGCCACTGCCTCATGCAAGGGACGAAGCTCACGGCAGGGCCAGGACCGCTGAGGTGACGTGGGCGGGGCCTGGCCTGGGGACCATGTGAGACAGAGCCCCCGGGCCTGGCTCCTGGAACTCGGGGCCTGGGGTCTGTGAGTTTATGGGGTGATTCCTTGTCTGCCTTGGGGACCTGGAATCTTCCACCTGGGACTCTTCTCCTGCCCACCCCCCTTCCCTGTTGGGCTTTTACCCCCCCAAGTCCCTCCTTCCGTCTTCAACCCCTTGGGACTGGTGTCCTATGAAGGGCAGACTCTGAGGCTGGATGAGGGTAGGAAGGCCTGTTGGAGGAGGGGGACTTGGGGAAGCTCGGGGGCAGGGCTGTGTCAACTCTGTGCCTTCTCTGGGGTGGGAACACAAGTGTCAGGGTCCCACCTCAGCTCTGCCCCCAACATGCTGTGCAACCCTGTGTAAGTCACAGACCCTCTCTGTGCTTCAGTCCCTTCATCAGCCTCATGGGTGAGGCTGACTTTCTGCCCCTCGGCCCCTCAGGGAGCCCTGGGTCCCAGCTGCCAGAGGCCTGCCGGGTGGCCTGGCTAACTCACCCACAGATGCTTCTCCCCCACAGCCTGTGAGCTGGGCTTCTACAAGTCAGCCCCTGGGGACCAGCTGTGTGCCCGCTGCCCGCCCCACAGCCACTCGGCAGCCCCGGCTGCCCAGGCCTGCCGCTGTGACCTCAGCTACTACCGGGCGGCCCTGGACCCGCCTTCTGCAGCCTGTACCCGTGAGTAGCGCCCAGGCCAGCGCCAGCTGAGGTCCCCAGGGCCCAGGCTGGGGCGGGGCGGGACTCCGCCCCTCACAGTGGCCTTGACCTCTCTGGGCCTCTTGTCACCTGTCACCTGCCATCTCCCCAGGGAGCCTTCCACCCCTCCACGGTCTGCTCCAGAGGGCAGGGGCAGGCCGGACCGCGCCCATCATCTTCCCACGGGGTCTGGTGGCAGCCAGGGCGTTTCCCCCCTGAGTCCCCAGCCCCAGCAGCTGGGTGGACCGTGGGGCTGTTGTGTGTGGGAGTGCCTCGCGGGTGGGGTGTGTGTGCAGAGTGTGCGCGTGGAGGTGCGCCTGGGGTGTGTCGGGATGCTGCGGGGTGGCCTCCTGCCGTGGCAGCGGCTCTGCAGAGGACGCGGTGTGGGCTGGGTGAGGGCAGCGCCTGGGCTCCCGGGGGGGAGGCTTCCTTGGGTGTGGGGGGTGCGTAAGGGCCCCTGAGGGGCTGAGACGCGTACCTTGTTAGCTTGGCACGGGACAGTGGCGCCTGCAGTGCCCCTGGCTGTCTTGCCGCGGCCCCCCCAGCTCTGGCCCTGCAGGCCCCCCACTTGCCAGCCCCGGCTCTCCCGGGGTGCCCAGCACTCAGGGTTCTGACTCTGCCTGGATCTGCCCCGGCCTTGTCCCCCCACCGCCACCCTGTGCCCACCCAGCCCCAGGCACCGGGCACCGGTGGGAGGGCTCAGGTGTATTCACAGCACGGGGGCCACACAGTGCCCCCCCTTGCTGCTCTGCCCAGACCTGTGTGTGTCCCCATGTGGGACCCCCTGGGGCAGAAGGGACGGCTGCTGGCCTGGTGACAACTGTATGCTCCGTGGGCCCCGGGGGCAGGGGGAGCCTGGCTGAGTCACGTCCGTGCACCTGGAGCATCTGAGCCTGGGACGCGGGCTCCTCGTGTCCACCCCGCTCTGGCTTTAAGACTGTCCCCTCTGGTGATGGCGAGCCTGTGGCCCCGAGGTCCTGTGGCTCTGGCCTGGAGTTTAGGGTTGGGTTTCTGAGGCCCGGGGTCCCCCAGCCCCACGCCTCCTGCTCAGACCCCCCACTACCAGGGTCCCCGGGCCCCCTGCCCCACCCCGAAGTCGGCCCCACCAGGTGGTCACCCTCTTTCTCCAAAGTCTGTGCTGCGCAGACTGGCCTCCAGGCCAGGGTGACAGAGTGACAGCCACAGGGGACACTTGGTGGGTCCTGGCCTCACTGGGTGCTCAGTGGTGTTTCACTCAGGTCAGCCCAGGGGTGGGGTGAGGGCGGGTGCCAATGACGGGCACCCCACGTGCTGTGGGCACCAGGACCACGCCACCTCCCTCCAGCCCTGGAGGAAACCAGGTCCCCGTGGTCCTGCCTAGGTCCCCGTGGTCCTGCCTAGGTCCCGTGGTCCTGCTTAGGTCCCGTGGTCCTACCTAGGTCCCCGTGGTCCTGCCTAGGTCCCCGTGGTCCTGCCTAGGTCCCCGTGGTCCTGC